CTAGGAAATGGATATGGAGATTTGGGTGTGAGAGGGCCATTCTTTGGAGACGGATCATTGCTGGTCGGTTTGGAGAAGAGGAGGGAGGTTTGAAGTCTAGAAGTGGGTCTGTATCAGAAGGTTTGGGAGTGTGGAAAAGAATTAGGAGGGGTTGGGATGAGTTTTCAAAGCGGATAAGGTTTAGAGTTAGGGATGGAAGGAATGTGAGGTTTTGGAAGGATTTATGGTGTGGGGATGTGGTGTTGGCTTGTAGATTTCCGTATCTGTTTATGATTGTTGAGAATAAAAATGCAATGGTTGCTGATTATTTCCATTTTATGAATGAGAGAGAATGCTGAGACTTGAGATTTCGTAGAAGATTTAATGATTGGGAGTTGGGGGAAGTTACAGAGTTATTGGGTTTAATTTACAGCCAAGATGGGGTGAGGGTAGGAAGGGATGAGATGGTGTGGACTGAAGGTTCTATAGGGGTGTTTGAGTTGAGGTCGTTTTACTAAAGTCTTACGAATGATATAAGTAACGGTTTTCCTTAGAAGGCTGTTTGGAGGACTTCAGCACCATTGAAGGTGGCCTTTTTCACATGGACAGTGAGTCTTGGAAGCATTCTGACTTTTGACAATCTTAGGAGAAGACGGCAGATTACTGTTAACTGGTGTTGTATGTGTAAAATGGCAGGTGAATCGGTTAATCATCTACTATTACACTGTCAAGTGGCGGCGGATGCTTGGAGCATGGTTATGAAGGTCTTTGGGGTTCATTGGGTTGTTTCAAGGACAACAAAAGGTATGCTAGAGGCCTAGCGAGGGAGATCCGTTGGTAATCGTATTAGGAAAGCTTGGAGGGTAGCACCTCTTTGTATTTGGTTAGGGTTGTGGCTTGAGCACAGTAGAAGATGTTTTGAAGGCAAAGAGTCGCCGGCTTGGGCTGTTAAATCGTTTATCCTTCTTTCTCTTTATTCTTGGGTCCTTGGGATTAATTGTTCCTCAGTGGATATTTTGTTAGACTTTGTTGACAACTTATCGTTGTAATGTCGCACATGGCACCTGTATTTTTTCTTTGTTAAGGGTTGCTTTCCCTTAGAGCTATTTAATACAAATGCTTTAGAGCATCTCCAATGGTAAAATGCTAAATTCGGATGCCAAATTTATATTTTGACAGTGCTACAGTGTCAAAATGCTACATTTTAGCAATTCTGCTCCAATGATGCATTTTATGCAAAATGCTATTTTTTGACACAACCATTATTCTTTTTCAACTACCATTTCTACCATTCATATTTGCATCAGTAATGTTAATATTAGGCACATTCCAAATCAAGTTGTAGACATTAGAAGGAAACGAAAATTAAACTCACTTAAAAAGAATTCAAAATCTAAAATATGGTAAAAAAAGGACCCAAATATATATATATATGTATAAATTTATATATTTGATTATATTATTATATAAATTTTTTCTTTTTCGGAAATTTTTATATTATATATATATATATATGTATATTATATATATTTGATTATATTATTATTAAAAATATTTATATATTTAGTAACAAATCATTTTAGCCTCCCAAATTGCCATATATAGTTTTAGGGCAAATCATTTCAACCTCCGTAATCGCCTCCATCTCTATTCTCGTTCTCAACTCTGAAATTGCCCCCTCCATTTCTATTCTCATTCTCAACTCTGAAATTGCCCCCTCTTTCTCTCTCTCTCTGCAACTGCAAACTACAAAATCAACAAGAATCAGAAGTTCAAAACCCATATCTTTCAGTTTCCATCGCCCGCTGTTCCAGTTCGGGTTCGCCGTTCGCAAGCTTCAGCCGCTGTCTCTCAACTCTCAAGCTTGTCCCCCCCTCTCTCTCTCTCCAAGTGCTAACTTGTACGTATGCTTTTTGTTTTAATTTTTTTTTTCTAAATCAACTGATCAATGTCTTTAATTCTTGTTTTTCAAACTAAATCCTTTTTACTCTGAATTTTTTTATGATCTTTTTCAAAACCAGAGACCCATTTTCAACAAGATGATATTGAAAAAAATAATTTAAAAAAAAAAGGAATCACCATGGTGCAGAAATCAGATAGGATTTGTTAGATTGAGAGAGAGACAGATATGATTGAGAGATATAGAAATAGCTATTGCTATAAGTTTTGCTAAATTTGGCACCAAAAATGGCAAAGGCAATTTTTGGCAGGTGAAATATCAGCCCATTGGAGGCCCAAATTTTAACCCACCTGCTATATTTTGAATTGGCAGACAATATGGCAGGTGGGTTGGAGATGCTCTTACTTATCAAAAAAAAAAAAAAACTTTATAAAGGGGGTAAGTGCAAAAAACACTCCTCCAGTTTCAAAAATATGCAAATAACACCCCTGATGTTCAAATGCCACCCCTGTAGTTTCAAAATAGTGCAAATAAGGGCTTCTGACCAAGAAAATTGGCATGTGCCGTGCATGTGACTAAAGATTGGCCTTTAATACCAAAACTACCCTTTTGCACTATCCAAAATACCCCTTTGAAAACACAGGAGGGTTTTTTGCACACTTTAAAAAATAAAAAGGTTTATTTACAAATATCGAAATAATTTTTAATTTTCTTTATTCTCTCCTCTTTAACTAAATACATTAATTCATTGTTTTTAAGCATTCTATATATAATATATATTACTCTTATTTAATTATTTCTGTATATATAATAAAAATATTTTCTCTCTCCTCTTTAATTTTTTAATTTGGCTGTAATATATCAGCACATCCATCGTCGAAGCAGAGAATCGAGTCGCCGGTGGTGGTGATGATCCGGCGAAATTAGACAACTTCGAACGAAATTAGACAAATACGAAAATAATTTTTAATTTTCTTTATTCTCTCCTCTTTAACTAAATAATTCATTATTTTTAAGCATTCTATATATAATATATATTACTCTTATTTAATTATTTCTTTATATATAATAAAAATATTTTCTCTCTCCTCCCTAAAGTCTCTTTTCTTCCTAAATAATTTCCATTTTTTAGTACTTTCCAAAAAAAAAATTTCATTTTTTAATATTTTCTCTCTCCGCATCGAATTATGCCCGAAAAACACTATCACCGGCTGAAGAATCCAACACCATCACTGGAGAGACAGACAGTCAGTTTAGTGAGAGAAAGTGTAAAGAGAGAAAGTGAGGAAAGAAAAAAGATGGGTCAAATTGTGAAGAGGTAGAAGGGAAAGCCGTCAAAGGCAGATCTTGCATGCCGCGCCGCTGTCACTGCGACGCAAAAGCGTGACCTGCAACGGAGTGTCCATCGCTGGAATATTAGGTACAACTTTGAAATTAAGAAGACGATTCTAAGTCACCGCTGAATCAGACTTGGCGCGAGGCACGCATGCTTAATGCTTTGACATCTTCATCAGACTTCAGTGACGGCGATAAGCCACGAAGAAAAGGAAAATTGAACGAGTTGAACATTTCTAGCAACCACAGCCATCAATCACTCCACATAGTGTCGATGGAGGCAAACATAGGCCAAGATTTTTTATTCTCACAGCGCAAACTAGTGTCAACCGGCGAGCTCAGATCCAATTACGGCGTAGCAGAAGAGTCAAACTTTAAGCATAAAACGTCGGCGTTTTAGGAATTATCTTTGAGTATTGTCCTTTAAAGTAATTTCAATTTTGTGTTATTTTTTATTATTATTGAATAAAGAATATTGGGGGGGGGGTATTTTCGTATTTTTACTTACCCCTCTTACAAAAAGTCCTTATTTGCACTATTTTAAAACTACAGGGGTGACGTTTGAACACCAGGAGTGTTATTTGCACGTTTTTGAAATTAGAGGGGTGTTTTTTGCACTTATCCCCTTTAAAAAGTAAATATGATTATAAAAGGTTCTTGCATTTTGGCCTAATATTGATGAGTTCATTATATTATATATGGCTCCTTACATTGCTGTCTTGACTAAGGGCCATTTTTAGTGACTTTCTTGTTTAGACGGTAAACTCATGGACATATATTGTTCTATGAATTATTTCAACCCTTCACCACATTATTAAATTATTTTAGTATATGTTTGAAGAACGTGGCTCCTTACATTGCTGTCTAAGGGCCATTTTTAGTGACTTTCTTGTTTAGACGGTAAACTCATGGACATATATTGTTCTATGAATTATTTCAACCCTTCACCACATTATTAAATTATTTTAGTATATGTTTGAAGAACGTATATTACCTTGCAAACTTTATTCCAAATCAGTTTATTGTAGAGGTTGAAGCCACACTCTTGGGTCTTACCTAGCTTTGGGGAGAGTAGGATGTATGCAACCTTATCCTCGAATGGCAGTTTCCTGCTTTGAACCGTGACCTTCAAGTCACAATGGATCAACCTTACCGTTGTGCCAAAGCCTGCCCTATAGGGTCTTACCTTGCTCTCCTATGCAAAAAATGCAACCAAAAATTACAAGGTACATTGTCAGCATCTAGGCTTTACCCCGACACTATTTGGGGTCAGATGCACAGATCCTATCATCCTAGTTTATTCTAAATTTCTAGTACGTTGCTGCTATCCCATTTTAAATATGTTTGATATACAATTAGAAGGGATGGAGAGGTTGAATCGATATCTGATGTATTTTTTTTCCTGGGTATTATCTGCTGTATTTTACCTATATAACTATGCTGAAAGTTGACTATGTTGAGTTATTGTGAACATTCTGATGATAGACTTCTGTGGAGCTAATGCCACATCTTCATAACTATTCAAACTACTGCTTATATTTGGAGGTTGTGAAGTTTGTATCGTCTAATTAATTCACATTTGCCTATCTAGATGTCTAGATGGTATCCTGAAATCATTTTGTTTCTCACATATAAGATGAGGACATTTACCCATAAATAACTGGATAAGGCTTTATTGTTTTGAGTTATATTAGTGACTATTGTTGAACTGATCATATTATCTTGTATATGTATAGATTGTTGTATCTTTCTTGTTTCTTAGTCTATTTCCCTTTTTTCCTAGCAGTTACTGTTTAGCTGATGACCGTTTGTTAGAAGCTGTCAAGTTTCTGGATCTTGGTGATGGTGCTGGTTGGGAACTACTGCAGGTTCAGTTATAACCTACAAACTATGATCATTACTATCATTCTCACTTCTATGATTCCACAATCTACCATAAGATATTCTTGAGTGAAATTCATATATACATATATATATATATATGTATATATCTGACAGATGATTTACACTTATGCTATGCATACATGATAATCATACACATGATGTGACAAATAGTTGATGATAGTAATAATTTAGGAGGAAGAAGACTCAAGACTTGCAAGAACTATTTTGGTAGCAAACTGTGGGTGTCAGAAAGCAGATCCTACTTTACCATTCCAGCCTATCAAAAGGTCAAAGATTCAGGGGAAGCGCATGCCGATCCCCTCACGGGGAAAATAACAAGCCTACCTCCCCGTGAGGGGATCGGTGTGCGCTTCCCCTGAATATTTGACCTTTTGATAGGCCAGAATGATAAAGTAGGTTTGCTTTCTGACACCCACAGTTTGGAACGGCGATAAATAGAATATAGTTGATTATTCTTTCCTCCTTTATGATCCAAAGAACATGTTCTTTTATTCGTGATTATAATTCACGGGACTGGAATGTGGTGTAAACCTCCTCTCTCCCATTGTTGCACAACCCCCTCCCACTCCAAAGTATAAAATAAAAAAGCAGACCATTTTAGAATATTTAATGTATGCGAGCGCACTAGTGAAACTTGTTGGAGGTTGTTCTAGACAATGATGAACCAAGAGGGGAGGGGGTGAATTGGTTCTTAAACTTTACAAACCTTTTTCACAACAATGAAACACGCTTAGGATATGAAACCCTAATCTGTCACAATTTGTTTGAAGCGGATTCACAACCACAAGGACACCAAGTTTTTACAAGAAAAACCCCACTCAATAGGGATAAGAAACCTTGGTTCTTGGGTACACACCCAATGCAAAATCCACTGGTTGTAATGCAAGTAGATACACACTCAGTTGTCTCTCACTCTGCACACACCCTAGCTCACGACCTAAGTCACACAATTCTTCTCAATAGGTGTCGCTCTCACTCTCCGAGCGTGCTCCCGCTCTCATGCTCCGTGCGTGCTCTCGCTCAAATTCTCACTGCTTATGACTTAATTCTGCTGCTCTCACGCTCCCGCTCTCGAATTCGCTCCCGCTTTATGTGACTTAGCTCACAACATGTGCTCTCAGCACTGCCCCTGTCCTAAGCACCCCTGCTTGGACCAAATAAGGTCTCACAGCTTATCAAATACACAATGGAAGATGTATAACAAATATACTTAAGTTATTACACAAGCTAAGAGTGACAATATAGGTCAAAGTATCCACAACACCAAGTGCTCAACAATCTTCTGCAGAATCAGTGGACTGAAGGGTAAAAGTGGATTTCAGCTTCACTACAGACTTGAACATGGTTCCCACAGCCTTATATCAACAATGCAATGCCCTTGCCAACTTTGTAGTTTTTGTCTTTTAGTGGACCAACAAATTGACAGCTCACATAAATGTATACATATCTGAATCAATACAAACTTAGTGCCTAAGAAATGTGAATTGTCCCACAAATTTCTCTCACTAGGACCACAATGCACGTATCGTGCATTACATAGTTGAAAAGACCAAAATGCCCCTCTAAAGAACACTTGTCAATATATAATAGAATATTGAGTTGTAGCGTATGTATACACTATCAAATTGAAATTTTGAGCTCTATCATACAATGTAGCATCCAAGATAAGTATACAATTGCAATAAAAATACTTGAAATGACAGAAACTACCCCTGGCAGTGACATAAAACCTAAAATATTCAGTACACCAGTAAAATAGTTGTGATTGGTCTGTGATGCAATGTACCTTTCTCACTCAATTTAAATTGAGCTCTCACATGTAATAAATGACCATATTGCCCCTGTACATCACTGAAATGGTCTGAGCACACCAGAATTCATAGTATATCACAGTAATGGACCTGTGATCAATCTTTTGACATTTAAAGTTCAAACCTTAATTAAAACCTGGGACCAACAATCTCCCCCTTTTGCCTTTGAATGTTAAAAACCAAACATAGCTTCTATATCATAAGAACTGTCAATAGTATAAGCAATGTACCAGTAAAGCAATAGTAGAAGACATAACTAAGGATATAAATATCCTTGTTTCTGGTCCATTTCTCCCCTTTTTTGACATTGAAAGTCAAAAGGTGAAGGGACTAACAATGTAAAGCATCAGAAAGGGTTAGAGACAACCTTGAGAAGGTCCTTGAGGGTTGAAAACCTCTATGTCAACAATGGTTTGGTCATGATATCAGCAAGTTATTGTTCTGTAGGAAGGTAAGTGATATCAATGAGCCTTTGTTGAACCTTGTCTCTGAGAAAATGATACTTGATATCAATGTGCTTGCTTCTGTAGTGCAATGCAGGGTTCTTACTGATGGCAATGGCACTTTGATTGTCACAATAAAGCTTTGGAGGTCCTGGAAAGTGAAGACCAAGGTCTGAGAGTGTTGTATTCATCCACAACAATTGAGAACCAACTTGTGAAGCTGCAATGTACTCAGCTTCAGAGGTGGATAATGACAGTGTAGGTTGTTTCTTACTAAGCCAAGACACCAAATTTGTACCAAGGAGATAACATCAACCTGTAGTGCTCTTCCTATCAGGCAAAGAACCACCTCAATCTGTATTAGAATATGCAGTGATAGATAGAGATGGGGAATGAAGATAGTGTAACCATATGATAGAGTCCCTTTGACATATATAAGGGATCCTCTTAGCTGCTTGAAGGTGAGAGTTCCTTGGATTGCTCTGAAATCTTGCCACTAAACCAACAACATACATAATATTAGACCCGGAAGCTGTGAGATAGAGTAAACTACCAATGATGGATCTGTAAAGTGTAGAGGGCATAGCTTCTGTTATACAATCAGCTTGAAGTTTGGTGTTTGGACATAGTGGGGTTGACACCACCTTACTTTCTGCCATATTGAACTTTTTAAGCAGCTCAGTAGCATACTTCTCTTGAGAAAAGTTGAATGTAAAAGGCTCTTATAAGCCACCAATTCTCATTAGCCATACTCCTAATTTATATTACAGACTGAATATTTTATAAGTGGAAAGTAAATCAAAGCACTAATCCTATGCCTCTAATAGGCACATGATGAAAATAATATTATATAAAATCAAATTAAGATCAGATCAAATCCAATCCCTAAAGATACTCCCAATCAAGATCAAATCCCTATATTTTCTCCCAATACTCCCCTTCAAGCTGGAGCGAAGATATCAACTAAGCCCAGCTTGCCAATACTAGAGTGAAGAACCAATTGTCCTACTGACTTTGTGAACATATCGGCAAGTTGATTAGTAGAAGAAATGAAGGAAGTATGGATAACTCCACATCGCACTTTCTCCCCAAGAAAGTGAATATCAACCTCAATATGCTTTGTCCTCTCATGAAGAACTGAGTTAGATGCGAGCATAATAGCAGACCGGTTATCACAAAAGAGAGTTAATGAACTAAATACAGGGAAGTCAATAGGGAACGAAGCCAGAGGATCTCACAAGTGCCCTGAGCCATGGCACGGTACTCTGCCTCTGCAGAAGAATGAGACACAACACTTTGTTTCTTACTTTTCCAAGAAATTAAATTACCCCAGTGAAAAGTACAGAAACTTGAAGTAGAGCAACGACCAGTTGGAGATCCAACATAATCAGCATCGGTGTAGCATGGGATAAGAGGCTGTGGTGTGGATTTATAGAATAGACCAATTCCTGGGCAGGACTTGAGGTACCGAAGAATTTGGTATACTACATCTAAGTGTGAGGTCCGAGGAGTATGTATGAACTGACTCACAACACGAACCGCAAATGTGAGATTAAGTCTAGTGTTTGTTAGTTAAATTAAGTGCTAACCAAGTGCTGATAAGCAGACGAATTTGGAGGAAGGTCTCCATACTCAGCATGAAGCCGATGCGTCGAATCCATAGGAGAGGAAGCAGGATGACACCCAAGCATACCAGTGTCCTGTAGGAGGTCTAATGCATACTTCCGTTGAGAGAGCGAAATGCCATGCCTAGAGCGTACAACCTCAATATTAAGAAAAAATCGAAGAGGACCTAAGTCTTTAACCTCAAAAGCTTGCCTAAGGTCTAATTTTTCCCTGTCAATGAAAGATGCATCATTTCCAGTGACGATTATGTCATCAACATATACTAAGATAATGCCACAACAATTTTCTAGACTAAGATGGAAGAAGCATGTGTGATCTAAATGACATCGAGTGAAACCCATAGAAATAACTACATCACTGAATCGGTGAAACCATGCCCGAGGTGACTCCTTCAGTCCATATAAGGATTTTAGAAGGCGACACACTTTCCCAGAATACTCCCCCTAAAGTCGAAAACCAGGAGGAGGATCTATATAAATTTCTTCTGTTAAATCCCCATGAAGAAAGGCATTCTTCACATCTAACTGGTGAAGAGGCCAAGAGTAGCAAGCCACTAAGGAAATAAGAAGGTGGACAGTAGTCAGCTTAGTGACCGGAGCAAAAGTGGCATTAAAGTCCTTCCTCGGAGTTTGTGTAAAGCCCTTCGCGACCAGCTTAGCTTTATAGCGATCAACAATACCATCTAGTTTATATTTGACTATAAATACCCATTTACAGCCCACATTCCTCTCTCCTTGTAGTAAAGTAACAATCTCCCATGTCTTATTTTTCTACAAGGCATCCATCTCAGCAGCCATGGCTGCTGTCCAATGTTGGTCTTGCAAAGCCTCAGATACCAGTTTGAGGGATGGAAATAGCCGAGGTGGCAGCAAGGTAGGCCTGACAATTGTGTGAAAGTCCCTGATAAGAAACAAACTGGGCAATAGGATGATTAGTCACACAAGTCCTTTTACCTTTGCGGAGAGTAATAGGCAAATCAGAATTAGAAGTAGGCGATGCAGGATCTACAACAGAAGTAGGCAAGGTAGGATCTGAAGTAGAAGTGGGATTAGCAGGGTTAGGATTACCTGTACCCCGTCCCGC